GCCTCCTTCCCGCCGTCGCTGGGCGTCCTGGTCTCCCTGCAGCTGCTGCTCCTCCTGGGCCTGCCTCCCGGGCCGCAGGCTCATCAAGTCCACGCCCACACCTCGCGCCGCCTCTGAGCAGCCCTCCTGGCTCCCCCCAGGCCTCCCGCATTCCCCGCTCCCCCTTAGATCCTCACCCCCTATCTCACTGAAGGACTGACCGCACCAGGCCCCCAGAGGCTTAGGCTTGGAGGGGTGCGGGGTGCCCACAGGAGGGCGCTGCAGGTCTTTGGCGCCCAGGCACAGCTGCTGCTGAACTGTCCGTGTCTCCAGACCCCCATTCCCGCTGGACTTACCCACCCCTGGGACAGGGAAGCCACAGTACTGGTGCCAAACCAGGCCCCACTGCCCACCCTGCCCCACGGAACTGCTCCAACCTGGCCCTGCTACCCCACTTGGGACCAAATGTGGATTCCCTGGGGACAGCGGAGCCCCGTGCGTCCCGGCTTCAGTCCTGGCAGGAGAGGTCCTGGGCCAGCACCCCTGGGTCCTGCTCCTCTCAGGCCTCCATCCCCTTCCCCCTCCACCCAAGCCCGGCAGGTGTCAAGCAGTGACATAAAACTGGCTCAGACACACCCACACACCTGGAGCCTGAGGGCAGGAACTGAACTCGGAGCAGACACGTCCTGGAGGACACACACACAGACACGCACAGGGGTTGGGGGGTGGGGCCCACGAAGCCTTACAGAGGGGCAGGGCTGTCGGGAGGGCTGCATGCGCACACTCCCGCTCCTGCTCACTGCCCGCCTCTAGCCTGACCTGCAGCCCAGCTGATCCTCCATCTAAAGCTGAATGTCAAACAGTGCCAAATGCTGGGGCGGGGGGCAAAGGCCCCTCTGTCCCCCCTAGCCGCCAGTGTCCCCTACATGCCCTCACCCGCCCCCCCAGGTGCTCATTGTAACCATTTATCAGTAGTGTCGGGCCCCTGCGGGACCACATGCCACTGCCCGCACCCCCGGCAGAGGAACCCTCACCAGACAGCGCCCTTTGCCTTAGCAGGGTGACGTGATTGCTCCTGGCTGGGCCACCCCACCCCCCAACCTGGCCCTTACACGCTCAGGCCTGTGCCCACCTCCTGTCTCCTTCCCATTCACACACACTCCCTACCCCCAGGAGGCCGAACTGCTCCTCCCTGCTGCACACACACTTGCACATGCATACACACATAGACACACACTCTGTGCACACAAAGAGGCTGGGCCTGGGCACACTTCTTCACACCATTCATTCTGGTCATTTCCTCCAGAGGCATCCCAGCCTGGGGGCTGGTGGGGGACTGAGGGCAGGGATGTGGCCATGGGGCTCAGATGGACTGGGAGGAGGGGGGAGGGGGATGCATTAATTAATGGCTCCGTTAATTAATGTCATGTTGCTTGTCGCTTTCTCGGTGTGTGTGTCTGGTCCATGCCCGCTGCTGGTGCCAGGGTGGGTGCCCATGCTGTACACCCGGCCTGGATGCCAGCCATGTCTCGCGGGGGCGTGTGTGTAACTGTAGTGTAGTCAGGTGCTCAATGGGGAACATAAAAATAAAAAAATCAAACATATACAGAAAAATAAATATATATTTTAAGTTTAAAAAACGGAAAAACAGACAAAACAATTCCCATCAGGTAGTTGTCCAACCCCCAGCTGGGTCTGACCCTTCTCATTGTCCACCTGACCTGGCTGCCCCCTCACCTCGGGCTCGGGGGATCTGGGGGGGACTCGGGGGCCATCTCCTCTTCTCTGCCCTTTCTTTTGGTTGTTCTATTTTGTACAGACAAGTCAGAAAAACAACAGCGACAAAAAAGTCAAGAAACTTTGTAAAATATTGTGTGTGTGATTCCTTGTAAAATATTTTCAAATGGTTTATTACAGAAGATCAGTTATTAAATAATGTTCATATTTTCACTTCAAATGGTTCCCATCCGCTGTGTCTGCCCCGGGGTGAGGATTCGTAGCTTGAAGAACCAAGTCGCCTTGACCTCAGAGCCCCACTGAGCACTCAGCTAGGAGCAAAGGCCATGGCAATCCAGTCTCGGGGTGTAGAACCCCAGGCATCCTGGGTACCAGATACTTGAACCGTTTACCTTGAATAATCCCAAAAGCATCTGAGAAAAGCTGTTTAAGAAAACAAAACAAGGCCTGGACAGTTTGGCTCTGTGGATGGAGCGTCAGCCTGCGGACTGGAGGGTCCTGGGTTCGATTCTGGTCGAGGGCATGTACCTGGGTTGCAGGTACATCCCCGGTGGGGGGTGTGCAGGAGGCAGCTGGTCGATGTTTCTCTCTCATCAATGTTTCTGACTCTCTATCCCTCTCCCTTCCTCTCTGTGAAAAATCAATGGAATATATTTTAAAAAAAAAACAAAAAACAAACAAGCTCACGGAGATGAGATGTGGGTTTAGGGAGCATCCAGCCATCAGGTCAGACCGCCGGCCCAGTGGGCGGGTCCTCATCCGAAGTGAAGTGTGGGGACCCGGCCTGAGCCCCTACCCGGTGCTAGAGGGCCCGGTGCTGCTCCGAGGAGGGTCTGGTCCACCAAAGGCATGGCTATGGCTCTTCCCAGCCCAGGGAAGCTCAAGGACTGGGCTCTCCATGGCCACTGCTGCTCGCACTGAAACCCAACCCTCTAGTTCATTTTAATCCCAACTCTTAATAGTCCACCCTGGTCCGTGTGACCTTTGAGGTCTTTCAAGGGGAAAGACTTACAACCACCAGAGCAGAGGTTTCCTGGCGCTACTGACTGACAATACACGGCGCTCACCGGTGCCTTCTGGCTGAGTCCTCACCACAACCTTAGAGCTGGGTACTAGTTTATCCCCATACTGCAGATGAGCAAACTGAGACTTAGGAGAGATTCTTTCCGCCCAGATGAGGAGGACAAGAAATCAGCAGAAGTTTCAGAGAGGAGCTGGTCTGTGTCTGGGGGTCCTTAGATGCTAAATAAACGGAGGAGGGCATTCCAAGCCTTAGCGAAGACACTTTTCCTCACTCCTCTGCAGGAGCTGGCCACCGAGCAACACCTACCTAGCACCCTCTGAGACAGCCCCCATCCCGAGCCGTGCAACAGCCCAGAGGTCCTGGGGTAGAGCTGCCGGATAAAATATAGGACATTTTTTATATTTGGCTCAGTGGACAGAGCGTCGGCCTGCAGACCGAAGGGACCGGGGTTCAATTCTAGTCAAGGGTACATACCCAGGTTGCAGGCTTGATCCTCAGTAGGGGGCGTGCCGAAGTCAGCTGATCGATCAATCGATGGTTCTCTTTCATCATCGATGTTTCTATCTCTCCTTCTCCCTTCCTCTCTGAAATCAATAAAACATATATATTAAAAATATAGAGAGAATATTCAATCAAATTAGAATTTCAGATAAATATTTTTAGTACATCAATATTGCATAGGACATAACTACACTATACAAATGGAGACATGCTACCCTGGCTGGTTTGGCTCAGTCGATGGAGCGTCGGCCTTCAAACTGATGGGTCCCAGGTTCAATTCCAGTTGGGGGCGCATGCCCGGGTTGGGGGCCTGATCCCCAGTGGGTGGTGTGTAGGAGGCAGCTGATCAATCGATGGTTCTCTCTCATCACTGATAGTTTCTTTCTCTCCCTCTCCTTCCTCTCTGAAATCAATAAAAACTTTTTTAAATGGAGACATGCTTATACCAAAAAAAAAAATTATTCATTATATATTTGAGATTCAAATTTGATTGGGCACCTTGTATTTTGATTTGTTAAGCCTGGCAGCCTTACCCTGGGGTGACATCGGGTGAGAACCCAGACCCCAGACAAAGATAAAGGTGTCAACACCCTTTGTAACCTGGAAGGTGATGCACCTGCTGGCAGGAGCACTGACATCAGCGGCTGAAAGGAAGGGGTCCTGCACTGTATAACTGTACTTTGTCAAATAATTATTTAATTACATGCACGTTTTTGTAAGAAATCTCATTTTTTTTCCCTTGATTTCAGAGAGGAAGGGAGAGGAAGAGAGAGAGAGAAACATCAATGATGAGAGGGAATCATTGTTTGGCTGCCTCCTGCACGTTGGACCGAGCCCACAATCCAGGCATGTGCCCTTGACCAGAATCGAACCTGGGACCCTTCCATCCACAGGCCGACGCTCTATCCACTGAGCCACACCGGTCAGGGGTATATGCATATTTTTTTAAAGTAACTCACGATACAAAAAAATCATCTCGCACAGGACACAACCTGCCAGAAGCCACCGTTGCAATGAAGTGGGGACCCAGGGCCAGCCTTGTCCAAGTTTGTGGGGAGACTTCTCGTCCTCTGGGCCAGCAATCAGAAGGGTGTAGGGGGCAGGAAACCTGAGTTTGAGTCGTGGCTCCACCTCACTTGTAACAAGGGCAGCCTGGGCAGCGCACTCACTGTGCTCCCAGGGTGACCTGGCATTTTACACTCCAGGCCCCTCGCACCCTCAGGGCATGTTCTGTCATCTCCGTTCGACATCTCCATGAAACTGGGTTTCAGCCAAGTCCAGGAACTTCGCCAGTGTACGCAGCTGCCAAGTGGCAAGGCAAGAATTCCAACCTGGGTCAGGCCCCATGCATCCCAAACAACCTGAGTCAGGCTTACTCCAGACCATGGGCGTCCCAGTTCCCGCACACCAACTAGTAGGTACACCAGGGACACCCAGCATTCTCACCCACACACCTACCTACGAAGACACACCCATTCAGATGTACATGCCAAGGAGCCACGCTTCCCGGGGGACTCAGCAAGTGTGTGGCATGCAGTTGTGGTGCCGCCGGTACCCGCCGCTTTCCCAGGGTTAGCGATGCTTCTTCACCCACTCCCACCTCCCGAAGACTGGTGGAAAACGGTCCTGAAAACTACAATTCCCAAGCAACACCTCTTCTCACCACCGACTGGCCCGGCCCGCGCGCACAGCCTCCTGGGACTTGTAGTTCTACCCAGAACCCTGACTTCCGCTCGTCCCCAGCTTCGGCCTAGGACCCGGTGTCCCAGCATGGCGCGGACCCGGAAGACCTTCGCGGAGAGGGCATCCCGCCGCCTCCCGGGGCGCGCAGGCGCAGCACCCCTGTTTGTCGGCGCCTGAGAAGGGAGGAGGTACGGTCGAAGGCAAGACCCAGGCCGAGCCGGAGCTGACCTGACTTGACTCGGGCCCAGAGCTAGGCTCCAGTCCCGCGCGGGCCGGACCGTAGGACCTCGGAGTGGATGGAGCAGGCCCAGCCCTGAGACCAACGGCAGCCACTAGACCTGGCTCGGAGCCCCCCGGGCGGGCAGGCAGGCGGGCCGAAGCCGCCCAGGGCTTCCCCTCGGGTCCCGGGCGAGGGGCCTAGGCCCCGCCCCGCAGCCAGGCCGGGCCCGGCCCTTTGGAACCGGAGTCCACCCGACCAGAAGTGGAGTCCTCACCGGGGCGGGGCCATCGGCCAGTGACTAGGCCGGGCCCGGGCCTCCCGTCGGAAGATGCAGCGCGCCCTGCCCGGCGCCCGCCAGCACCTGGGGGCCGTCCTGGCCAGCGCCAGCGTGGTAGTGAAGGCCCTGTGCGCCGCGGTGCTGTTCCTCTACCTGCTGTCCTTCGCCGTGGACACGGGCTGCCTGGCGGTCACCCCGGGCTACCTCTTCCCGCCCAACTTCTGGATCTGGACCCTGGCCACCCACGGGCTGATGGAACAGCACGTGTGGGATGTGGCCATCAGCCTGGCCACGGTGGTGGTGGCCGGGCGCTTGCTCGAGCCCCTCTGGGGGGCCTTGGAGCTGCTCATCTTCTTCTCCGTGGTGAACGTGTCCGTGGGGCTGCTGGGGGCCTTCGCCTACCTCCTCACCTACATGGCTTCCTTCAACCTGGTGTACCTTTTCACCGTCCGCATCCACGGCGCCCTGGGCTTCCTGGGCGGCGTCCTGGTGGCGCTGAAGCAAACCATGGGGGACTGTGTGGTCCTGCGGGTGCCCCAGGTGCGCATCAGCGTGGTGCCCATGCTGCTGCTGGCGCTGCTGCTGCTCCTGCGGCTGGCCACGCTGCTCCAGAGCCCCGCGCTGGCCTCCTATGGCTTCGGGCTGCTCTCCAGCTGGGTGTACCTTCGCTTCTACCAGCGCCACAGCCGAGGCCGAGGGGACATGGCCGACCACTTTGCTTTCGCCACCTTCTTCCCGGAGATCCTGCAGCCCGTGGTGGGGCTGTTGGCGAACTTGGTGCACAGCCTCCTGGTGAAGGTGAAGATCTGCCAGAAGACGGTGAAGCGCTACGATGTGGGGGCCCCGTCCTCCATCACCATCAGCCTCCCCGGCACAGACCCTCAGGATGCGGAGCGGAGAAGGTACTGTGGGAATCTGTGAAACCTGGTTGAGCTGGGGGAGCACTCATCAAGTCGCAGCCCATCTGTCCGGGTGCCAGGGGTCAGGTGTCGGGGCGGATTCAGAAAGAGGTCGCAGCCGGTTCGCGGCCTTGAGGAACTCAGCACGTAGGTGTCTGGGCTCCGGTAGGCGCTTTGCAGTATTGCCCTTCTCCCCACCGGGGCTGCCTAAAAAGGTCTTGAGAAACACTCGGTCTCCTTGGAGCTGGGTGAGGGCCAATGGAGGGCCAGGTACGCATCACTCTGGCCTCGTCTCCGAATCTTGGAATCCGAGACACGGGTTCTGTGGAAGCCAGAAACGGCCTCTGGTTGGTCTGAGAGAGGGACACAGGAGACCCGGGGTCCTGCAGAGGCACTCTGGCCCACCCCCGTTTCCAGTGGCTGACCCATGGCCTGTTTCTGGGCCTAATTCAGATTCTGCGCTTCTCTGCCACTTGTTGAGAGGGGAGCTGGAGGTGTCACTAGGCTCCCCCGCCTCCTGCAGGGAGGCCTGTTACCAAACCCAGGGCCTGGCCACGTGACCCGGGCCTGGAGCCTGCCTTTTCATTATCTGTAAACCAAGCCATCGTCAGGCCCAGGTGGGTTACTCAGTGCACCTGGGCCAGGGCAGGACCGATCTAACTCCAGCCCTTTCTCTCCCCGGTCTGTGGCCTCGCCACAGTGGTCACAGCTCCGTTGCCAACATGATTCTTGGGTATTTTTGAGGCAGTTACTGGAGAAGTGAAATCTGCGCAGGCTCTGTTCCCTTTCCGCATTTGTCAAAGGCTGCTGCTGCTGCTCACCTGTGGCGGGCTGCCCGGCAGCTCTGAATTCAGCTGAGGAGCTCGCCCCGTGCTGACCTCCGCTGGGCTGTGGGTTGAGGACGGGATACGTCCCTTTCTTGAAAGTTTCCAGCCGGGCAGTGCCACAGGTGACTGTGGTCCACGGTGGCGGGTGCGCCGGCAGAAGTGTGGGCCCTGCAGTCGTGTCTCTATGGCCGAGAAGCCCCAGAGACCGAGGTCTGTCTGAACCCTCCCCCATGGAGGAGCTGGAGCCGGCAGGCTGGGCCGGTAGCAGCTGGGCTGTCCTCAGAGCTCTCAGGTGGGGCCAGGTCACGGGCGGTCCCTCTGCCAGTGACGGGTCTTGCTGGGACTGTTAGGGTTGGCTGGACATTGACAACACCTCTGCTCAGGCCCAAGAAAATGGACGGTGGAGGCAGGTTGGGGCAGGGGTATCAGGAGGCAGATTCTGGCACAGCCTGTGGTGGGCTGACTTGGGGGTGGGAGTTACTCCTCCAGTCACTCTGACATCTGGCCGCATGCTACTCCCAGATGCAAAGGCTACTCCTCGTGGCCGCAGGGTTTCCTGTCTCTCACCCTCGTGAGGAAGTGACTAGCAAGTCTCCACCTCTGTCCCTCGGCAGGCCTTGCACAGCACTGACAAGTCAGCCTCCAGAAGGGGAGCCGGGGAGCCGCGGAGAGGACTGCCCTGTCTGTGCCAGGGCAGGCTGTGCCATGTGCCAGGCTGGAGGGCAGAGTGGAAGTGTGCAGGCTTTTTGTGCCCGTGCCCTTGCTGCCTGTCACGCTCCCTGCCTGGGGGAGATTTTGGTTCTCGCTGGAACTCGGAAGGCTACGCTCTGTCCCCCAGCTGGCGGCAGAGGCTGAGCACCAGGCCCTCGGTGGCCACTGTCGGAAGTGCTGCCTGGCAGCACCCCACCTCGTGGGGACGGGACCAGTGCACGTATATTCCTGCTCGTGCCTTTCCTCCTGAGCGGGTCTCTCAGAATCTGCCAGGAGAACCGTAGGCTCTGGGCTGTGCCTACCTGCGTGGCTGGTCCTCCTTCCTCTCGCCCTGCCAAGGACTCGGTGTGTTCCCACTGCCGCACAGGGCCTGGCGGCTTGGGGGTTCTTCTGGGAGGAACGTTGGAACCCCTTGGGGTGGGTTGACCCGCCTTAGCCCGCTTTCCAGAGCAGGTGCTTGAGTCCCAGCCTTCCCCAAAGACCCTTCCAGGAGGCTCAAAGCACCCCTAAGGAGTGGGGGGAGGCGTTCTTATCCTCTCCAGTGACACCAGTGCCCAGGCAGAAACTGGTAGGTCCAGGCGCCCTTCTCCCCGTCTGCCTGGGGGGCAGGGGAGGGGGCACCAGCTCTGCCACCCTTGGGCACCACCTCGGAACCACGCCTTCTCAGGCTGGAGGTGCCTCCGCTGGGGGAGGAGGGCTCTCCAGCCTCAGAGCCTCGTTCTGATGGTAGCGGCCCAATCCGGCCCCCGGGGAGCATGGCCCTGCAGGGGAAGGGAGCACTGAGGTGCCTCTGAGGAGTCCGAGTGGTGCGGGGAGTCAGCATCCTGGGCCAGAGCAGGGCGCGAGCCGAGTCCCAGCCCAGAGTGACCCGCCATCTTCCCTCTGCCCCCAGGCAGCTGGCCCTGAAGGCCCTGAACGAGCGACTGAAGAGAGCGGAGGACCAGTCCGCCTGGCCGAGCATGGACGACGACGAGGAGGCCGGGGCCAAGGCGGACAGCCCTCTGCCCTCCGACAAGGGCCCCGCCCTCCCAGGGAAGGGGGCTGCCCCAGAATCCAGCCTGATCACCTTTGAGGCAGCTCCCCCGAAGCTGTAACTCCAGACCGCCTTGAGTGTAGCACCTCCTCTCCCACCCCCGACCCCGCTCGGCTGCTCCGAGGAGAGGGAAGACGGTCCGGGGTCTCCGCAGCCTCCTGCTATTTCTCGCCAACACTACCCAGGCCTCTTGCTACCTGGTCACAACTCCAGACAACCACTAAGCCAGGCATCCGCCAGCCGGGGTGTCTGAGGTCAGACTGCACCTCGGCAGGTCGCCCCAAGCAAGTGGCAGTGGGGACACTGGTGCCGCAGCTTCGGGCCAACCCTCACACCTGATACTGGTGGCCGAGAGCCCTGAGCCAAGGCAAGGATTTGCCAAAAACGTCCTGGGGGGTCCAGCCCGCGTAGGAGCCAGCACAGGGCTGTGCCTCCCTGCCCACCCCGGAAGGACTATTCACCTCGAGATTTCCGGTTCCCTCTGCTGTGGCCACGGCTGCTGCTAGGCCAGAGCGGCCACAGCTCCCAGGCGTTTTCTACGGGACCACTGAGCGGGCGGCTGGCCCAGCGCAGTGTCAATAAAGCAGTTCTTTGAGGTATGACTCCTGGGCTGTTGGACCACCTCGTGCAGCCCCTCTTCGTGCTCAGCTGCAAAGTCAGGGACTTTACTCCCGGTCCAAGGGCTCAGTCCCGATGGCAACTCCAGCTGGAGAAGAGGCCCATTGCCCCCCTCTCCCTTCCCCAACCACATGCCCACTGTCACCTCACGCCCTTACTCATTTTCTTTCTCCCTCCTATCCCCATGCAGAGGCCCTGCCCAGGGGATCTTAGGACTGAGGGCTTCTCTATCCTCAGGAATTTTTTTTTAATATATTTTATTGATTTTTTTATAGGGAGGAAGGGAGAGGGATAGAGAGTTGGAAACATTGATGAGAGAGAAACATCGATCAGCTGCCTCCTGCACACCTCCCACTGGGGATCTGCCCGCAACCAAGGTACATGCCCTTGACCGGAATTGAATCCGGGACCCTTCAGTCTGCAGGCCGACGCTCTATCCACTGAGCCAAACCGGTCAGGGCAATCCTCAGGAATTCTTATCCAGGGCTCACCTCCAGGACCAGTGCTCAGTGCTTGACACCTAGGAGCCAGCCATCCTGCTCCCATCTTGTCATTGCCCAGCACAGTGGGCAGCTGGGGGGCTGAAAGGACACGGCGGTACATTCACAGCCACAGCCCGAGGGCTTTCTGGGCCTTGGGTAACATGGGCCTCTGGGCAGCCAGATCCTAGGGCTTGTGCGCTGGGAGAGCGTCAGTTCCGCAGTGAGCAGCCAGGAACAGGGTCCCGTGGCACCCAGCGCCCCCTTTTTCATCCTGATGGTCTTAGAACTATCCCCAACTCTGGGCTATTCTCCCCATCCAGTCTTTCCCATCTTTTTAAATTTTTATTTTAATTTTTTTGTCCTGTAATTTCTGGACATACCAATACAAGTATGAGCTGAGTTGCTGGGGAGGCAATCTTGCAACCCCAGTTTCATCCAGACCCACAATCCATGAGCTCCTCTGGGACGGTAGAGAGAGAAGGAGGGAGGAGGCACTCCAGTGTGAGGAGCAAGCACAGATGCCACACACAGGACTCCGCCCCTGAGTGCCCAGGGCCTGAGGTGTCCCTGTGACCTAGACATTTGAGAGAGTCCACAGTGTCCCAGCGCCAGCTCCTACATGAGGGGCAAGTCCAGGCTTCGAGGCTGCGAAGAACTCACGGCTGAATCCTTTTGCGGTACAGGTAGGCATTGCTCACCTGGTTCATGATGACCAAGCTGGTGACGACAGGGCAGAGCACCGCCAGGTACCAGACTCCACCAGTGACTGTGGCAGTGAACCAGAGTGAGCACATGCCCAGCAAGAGGCTGGCACTGCCCAGAAGGTAGCCCACTAGCCCAGAAGTGGCATGGTACAGCTTGAGCTTGGACAGGGGCCATCGGGGCAGCAGTTTGGGGTAGAGGAGCCCCACCCCACCTGAGCACTGCAGCCCTGCCCACAGCACAGCGAGCAGCCCTGCCCGCCCATGCCAGGTGGCCAGGTGGGCTTTGCCAAGCTGTTCCTTGTGGAGGATGACAAGGCCCACGCCCAGCAGCGCACACAGCAGGGCCAGCAGCTGTAGCACCCAGTGGCAGCGGGCTCGGCCTTTCCGCGAGAGGGATCGCAGCAGTGAGCTCTCAGGAGAGAATACCAGCAGGGCCTCCGTCATCAGGAAAGAGAACTGGGGAGACCGCATGGGAAACGAAGTGAGGATGCTGCCCAGCAGAAGGGAAGAAAGATTTAGGTAACCTAAGCTGCCAGTCAGCCAGATTCCCCTCCATTCTCTCCCCGCTGACCAGAGTGTCCATGGGTGGGGCAGGAATGGAGAGCTCCCTCTGGGACATCGGCCGAGTAACCCGCGAGAGGCACCCCCCACAGTCCTCGGGTGCTGTTTTGAAATGACATCTCTTCCCCGGCAAACACAAGGTTTGAGACGTGGCACTTATAAATGATTCACAAGCTTTGTTTCCCTGACACAGGGCGGGATACAATTTCTTGGCAGAGCTGGCCAAGCAGGTGCAGTGTGTCAGGGAAAACGGGGTGCGTCACTGTAAGTTCAGGGATAAAGGGGCGGAAGTAACCCCAAGTGCATTTTCTAAGCTTCCTGCCTGGAGGTGGGCGCACCTCATTTTGTGCTCAGACAAGCCCTACCATTTGCCCTGGGACTTGAGTACTCTGGTTCCCGTCTGGGATCTGTGCCACGGGCAGACTGCAGCATTCCACATTACCCCCTGGATGTAAGTGACCATAGGAGGCCAGTAGGCCACCACCCCTCCCTGGGCTCCCTCCCACCCCTAGAGCTGTCCCGGCCACTACTTACAGCCAGAGACATGAGCACGGGGTGCCAGGAGAACAGACCTGCAATAGAAGAGGAGGCCGGTAAGGCGGGGGAAGAGCCCGGCCGCAACAACTGTAGGCTGAGGCCCAAGGGAGCCCCCTCTGCTCCAAGCTGACCCCATACCCATCCTCTTCCTGGTCCCTCCGGGTCAGAGGCCATGCTTTGCCACTCCTCTGGCAGTCCTCCCTCCTGCCCACTGCACTTTGCAAGAGACAGCCAAGTGGAGCACCAAGGCAAGGAAAGAGAGCCGGGTACTCGGCCGGCCAAGCTGGCAGAGCCCCCACACTCATCTACTCCACCCACTTATCCCTCCAGCATCGCATGCACGGCCCTCAGCCACCCATGCCTCTCCCAGGAGTCAGGCCCCAGGTTTCCCATTGCCCCTGCTCCCAGGACAAGTGGCCCTTTCCTCCCCAGAAGTTAATTATAAATTACACTTACTGGAGCCAGGCCTGGCAAGCACTGCCACAAAGATGGTAAAGCCCAGGGCCACAAGATGGGCAGCAGCCCCAGAGGCAGTGCGTAGAGCTCGGTAGATGTGCGACTCGGTCTCCACAGAAAGAGCCATGGTCAACCAGGCCGGCGGCTGTAGCCTGAAAGCATAGGAGCGTAAGCAAGGGTCGCGGATGCCGCGGTCCACTCCTCTCGCTGGAGCAAGTGTTGCAGGGCAGGGATGCCACTCTCCTCCAAGAACCGAAGGTAGAAAGACAGGCACCAGCAATAGTTAAAGGACCGGCGGCCTGTCAGCATGTACCTGCATCTGAACTGGCACTGATCACTGGCCCACCTTCCAGGTAGGAAGCGCAACGCCGTGTAACAGACTACAAATCCCAGAGTGCACCACGCCGTCACCGGGCGGGAGCGCCAGCTAATAGGACAAGAAGCCCTACGGGAATTGTAGTTCCCAGCTGCGACCAAATTGCAGCCTGATTCCCTTCCCGCACAGCTTCCTCACGTGCCGCAGGCATGTAGCTCCTCTACGCTAGGAATTCGCCTGCCTCACCCGCAGCGCCGATCGGACGCGGTGGTTTTCTCCTGAGAAAGCGGGATACTCTGGACCCTGCCGCGCGAGCCGCCACCTCGTAGCGGATCCGCCTCACTTCCGGGTGTGATGACTATCCACCGGAAATTCCTGGTCCAACCTCCTCCGTAGCCACGCCTCTGGGCTGCTCTGCGCATGCGCTGTTGAGCAGCCGTCTTCATGGGTGCGAGTGCGCAGGCGTGCTGGACCCAGCGGCCAAGGCCTGGGAGCTGGTGTTCCCGAGGACTCGGTCCCGTTAGCGCCATGAGCAGCGGCTGCCGCATCGAATGCATATTTTTCAGCGAGTTCCATCCCACGCTGGGACCCAAGATCACCTATCAGGTGCCATCGGGCTCGCGGGCTTGGTGGGGAAATAGGGGCGCTCTCCAGAACTCAGTCCGCTGTCTGGAGGCGGCGGATGCCTGTCCCCGCGCTGCACGCAGGCCCGCTCCTCCTTCATTCGCCGAGAATCGTGAACCGAGAGGGTGCTCAGACCCAGGTCCCAGCCTCCCGGCGAGAGGGCGCAGACAAACCGCATAGGCAGTGATGGTGGGAAGCAGAATGCGGGGACCCAGCAGAGATGCCAGGTCCCACGGGAGGTGGAGGTGGGTGGTTCACTAGTTTCCCTGGCTGCATAGGGATGTAGGTGAGCGAAGAGAGTGGGCCAGACAGAGGGAACAGCATGTGCAAAAGCCAGGAGGCAAGTGAGAACATAGCGTGTGCTTGTAAACAAGGGAGTAGCAGGCCTGGGTGGATGGGAGAGGCAGTGCGTTGCGCTCGGCAGATGTGCGACTCGGTCTCCACAGAAAGAGCCCTGGCCAACCAGCTGAAGAGGGCTTAGGTTTGGGGGATTTCCCGTTTACTCGGCCTCGTACCGAGGTCCACTGTTGAGTCCTTTGCCACTTCCCTTCCCAGGTTCCTGAGGACTTCATCTCCCGGGAGCTGTTTGACACGGTCCAGGTGTACATCATCACCAAGCCAGAGCTGCAGAACAAGCTCATCACTGTGTGAGGCCCTAGCTGGGGGGTCCCGGGAGGAGTGGGCAGGCTTGGGAGTGGGAGGAGCCTGACTCTGGCCCCACCTCCCCCCTGTCTAGCACAGCCATGGAGAAGAAACTGATTGGCTGCCCTGTGTGCATCGAGCACAAGAAATACAGCCGCAATGCCCTGCTCTTCAACCTGGGCTTTGTGTGTGACGCCCAGGCCAAGACCTGTGCCCTTGAGCCCATCGTCAAAAAGCTGGCTGGCTACCTGACCACACTGGAGGTCTGCAACACCTTGGGCTTGGGTGGACGGGCAGGCAGAGTTGGGGAAGGTATTCACATGACTCCAAAGCCCTCCAGACCTAGGACCCTGCCAGGGCAGGATGCCTGGGAGGTGCCCACCATGCTGTCCGTGCTCCATCCAGCTGGAGAGCAGCTTCGTGTCATCGGAGGAGAGCAAGCAGAAGTTGGTGCCCATCATGACCATTTTGCTGGAGGAGCTCAATGCCTCAGGCCGGTGTACTCTGCCCATCGGTATGGCCCAGCTTCTGCAAGGACAGCGGAGCGGGGAGGAGGGATGGGAAAGTGACAGGGGAAGGTGAGCCCAGCCAAGGACAAGACTCATGAACAAATTCGTGGCCAGGCAATAGCCATGAGCTGAGTTGATGATGTGCAGGGTCCTGTGCATGACCGGGCTGGGGCTGGGGCTGGGGAGGCCAGCCGAGCTCCAGCTGTCCGATGGGCATGCTCCTTCCCCTCTCTGGACCTCCGTCTCTCGCTTTATAAGAGGGGAAGATTGGCCCTACTCAGAGCCACCTGCCTGCCTCAGGGTTGCTGGAGGGTGATGGAGGGCCTCTTGGAAGAGGGGCGCTGAGAATATGGGTGGGACCCCTGCAGATGAGTCCAACACCATCCACTTGAAGGTGATTGAGCAGCGGCCGGACCCGCCTGTGGTTCAGGAGTACGATGTGCCCGTCTTCACCAAGGACAAGGAGGATTTCTTCAGCTCCCAGTGGGACCTCACCACACAGCAGGTGTGCCAGCCCTCCCTGGGGTCACCAGCAGAGGCTGGCCTCCTCCTTGGCCTCACCCCACCCCTACTGCCTGCCTGCCCTGCTCAGATCCTGCCCTACATTGATGGCTTCCGCCACGTGCAGAAGATCTCGGCCGAGGCAGATGTGGAGCTCAACCTGGTGCGCATCGCCATCCAGAACCTGCTGTGAGTGGGGCCGTCACACCCAGGAGAGCGCTGTCCGCGGGGCCTGGGGCTGGGGTTGGGTGCAACCCCCCGAAGCTGAGCACAGCTCTTCTCCCAGGTACTACGGTGTGGTGACCCTGGCATCCATCCTCCAGGTAGGGGAGTCTGGGTCTGGTTATGCAGGGAGTGGATCATTGGCTGGGCCACACTGGGGCCGTCCGACTTCCAATCCCCTCGCTCAGGCTCCTGTGCCTCCTGCCACCTCCCCTCCAGTACTCCAACGTGTACTGCCCCACGCCCAAGGTCCAGGACCTGGTGGATGACAAGTCCCTGCAGGAGGAGTGTCTGTCCTACGTGACCAAACAAGGTAATGGGGGGCTCTGGGGAGGCCACCTCAGGGAGGGCAAGGGTCACCTGGAGAGCTGACCGCGGGCCCCCACAGGGCACAAGAGAGCCAGTCTCCGGGATGTGTTCCAGCTGTACTGCAGCCTGAGCCCCGGCACTACCGTGAGAGACCTCATTGGCCGCCACCCCCAGCAGCTGCAGCGTGTTGATGAACGGTCAGAGGGGATCTCCTGGGGCACAAGGGGTTTGCCTGAAGGCAGACATACCCTCTCTCTCTCTCTCGGGAGCCCTGGGTTAGAGAGGAAGCAAGAGATTCCCAGTGAAAGAATCATGAGGCACTGCTAGTCCAGGCAGGCTTCCTGGAGGTGGTGGGTTTGGAAGCCAGTCTGCTCACTAAGACAGCACTGAGGGGAGACTGTAGGGCAAGGTTGGCCTGGTGGAAGAAGGCCTGGCCAGGCATCACCCCTCTCCCTCAACCTGCACCCCAGGAAGCTGATCCAGTTCGGGCTTATGAAGAACCTCATCCGGAGACTACAGAAGTACCCGGTGCGGGTGTCTCGGGAGGAGCGGAGCCACCCTGCCCGCCTTTACACAGGCTGCCATAGCTACGACGAGATCTGCTGCAAGACAGGTGGAGGCAGGCAGGGTGCTGGGGTGGGGTCAGGCGGGGTAGCCAAGCCCAGGGTGCTGACCTCCCCTCCGCCACCCAGGCATGAGCTACCAGGAGCTGGATGAACGGCTGGAGAATGACCCCAACATCATCATCTGCTGGAAGTGAGGCTGGCGGGGTGGACACCTGCCCTACTCTCTCCTGCCAAGCCCTGCCTGGTGCTGAGGGCTAGACCTGTAGCCTCGTCCCTCCTGTCACAGTGTTGACCCTCCCCCCGTTCTGTAAATAAAGTCATCCCTTTCACCCTCCCTTTACTGGCTACCATCTCTGAGCCGGCCCCAGGGAACTCACAGTGAAAGAGCCTTGGTCCTGGCGCCCTGGAGCGCCACCTGGCGGGCAGAGCCGACAATGGACAAGCAAATGTGTCCCCTATTTCAAAACAATCAGGAAGTTGTGATAAAGAGAGTGAGTTGGGCCGGGCTGGCGTGGCCCAGTGGATAGAGCGTTCCATTCGGGTCAAGGGCACATGCCCGTTTCGGGCTCGATCCCCCATGCAGGAGGCAGCGATCCATGTGTCTCTCTCATTGATGTTTCTGTCTCCCTCTCACTTCCTGAAATCAATGTAAAAGAAAAAAGAGAGAGTTGGGATGAGCGGGGGCTGCTCTGGATTATTTGGGCCAGGAAGGCCCTGATGGGTGACTTACCAGCCCTGAAGGAGGAAGAGGGATCCAGGCAGAGGGAAGAGCTGCGGAAACCCCGAGGCCAGAACCACCTAGGGATGGGTGGGAGGCAGGGGGAGCGGGACGGGAAACAAAGTCCCGGAAAAGGGGAGGGAGCAGAGCCTGATGCCGCGAGCGCTGGCGAGCCGCTTTGGACGTGGTGTTCTGAGCGCCAGAGGCAGCCCTGGAGGCGCCGTCCCGCAACGTCTCCGGTGCACCTGGCAGAGCCCAGTGGAAAGGCTCAGCGGCGGCCACGCGAGGCGGTGCAGCCGGAGGAAAGTGGGGGGCCCTGCACAGAACTGAGGAGTCCAGCCGAGAGGGCGAGCTGGGTGTGCGCTGCGGGGCAGCTGCGCGAGGCCGGGACCCGGCCGGGCCCACTGGGCATCGGTACGCGGAGAGGCCTAGGCCCGGGGTCTGACACTCGGGAGGCCGGTGCTCCGCAGCCCGGGGTCGGGGAGAAAGCTCGGGAAGGCCGAATAGGGAGGGCTGCTGCTAGGGGGGGCTGCGGCCCGCCTCCCAGCGGGGGCGGCGGGTGGGGACCTGGCCCCGGCCCCGGGCGGAGGCGGGGCCCAGGCCACACTGCGCAGACTCGAGCTAGCCGTTTCCATGGCGACGAGGCCCAAGCTCCTCAACTGCTTCACAACTGTCAGTCCCAGACTTGGTCCCCACCAGACCCCGATCCTGTGGGTAACCGCACCTCAGCGCCGGCTGAACCCCGCCTTTTCCGGCCCCGACATGAGCGGCCTGGAGCTGCTGCTGCCGGGGGAGGCTGATATCTTGGTGCGGGGACTTCGCAGCTTCCCGCTGCTCGAGATGGGCTCCGCAAGGTGAGGCAGCTGAGCCCGGGTCAGGCAGAGGCATGGGGTCAGAGCCCTGGAGTGGAGGGAGTTCCGACATTGGAGAGAAGGGTTGCCCAGTGTGGAGGGGCCCCCAGGGGTACAGGGTCTTGAGCCCTCTCTGACCCCTCAGGATCAGGTTAGCTTCAGTGGGCTCAGCCCCCACCCCACTCCTACTGCACACATGTGCACCCAAACACACACACCCTCCGGGGCAGGTGGAACCAGCAGCATGAACACCTGGAGAAGCTGAACATGCAGGCCATCCTTGATGCCACGGCCAGCCAGGGTGAGCCCATCCAGGAGCTGCTGGTCACCCATGGGAAGGTATGCTGGGGGCAGGGCAGGGTTTCTGCCTTCCCCCACCCGCCCGCCACTCTGCCCCTCAGGAGCACGCTGGTGTCTGTCCTTCCCTCAAGCTGGCACCCCTGCCCTCCCCAAAGGAGGAGGAGTGCATCACTCACTTGACTTGCACCCCTGTCCTGCTGGTCACGGCCTTGGCATGCCAGGCGGGTGCAGTGTGGGTTGACTAGGGAGATAGTCATGGATCCTAGAACAGCCTCGCCTGCAGAGGAAGGGCCAAAGTTCTAGGGACACGAACTGGGATTATGGCCCCAGTAGATGACCTGAGATGTCACCTGACAAAAGGGTTCCTCTGCAGGAAAAGGTGCAGCCCCTGGTGAGAGGTGGGGTGGGAAGGGGGCGTTCTGAAGGGCCCTGGCTAAGGGTGAGGCCCAGGCACACAAGAGCCTTGGAAGGCCAGAGGACAGGGACAAGAGAAGGGCATGAGCAGGAGGGCGGACCTAGGAGACACCCGAATGGGAGAGGGGGGACAAAGGCACATACATGTACAGGGAACAAGGTTAGGAGCAGTCACATGGGGGATGTCCCCACAGAGATGTCAAGGGCAGCTGGAAATGAAGGTCAAGGTGCAGGAGAGAGGTCAGAAGGGAACTCGTGGGGCATAGGAGGGTCTGGGGCCCAGGGGAGTCAGGAGAGCTGGGCTAGGCCATGCCAGGGATGGGAGGGTTGCTAGGCCAAGGTCGGCGTCTCGTCCCTGTCCTTGCCCCTCCCCACAAAGATCCCGACGCTGGTGGGGGAGCTGATTGCCGTGGAGATGTGGAAGCAGAAGGTGTTCCCTGTGCTGTGCAAACTGGAGGACTTCAAGCCCCAGAACACCTTCCCCATCTACATGGTGGTGAGCTGGCCCCGTCTGCGCTCCCCTCGCCCCCCAACCCGCCCCCATCAGCTGGTAGCCCCTCCCCTTGGTCAGCAGCCTGCACCTGTCCTGTGTGTCTGCAGCTGCACCATGAGGCTTCCATCATCAATCTCCTGGAGACCGTGTTCTTCCACAAGGTGAGGCTCAGCCCCGCCCACTGGCTCCTGCCCCGGGCCAGAGGGGCTGTGTCTGGGAGGAGCCATCAGAGAGAATGTCCCCCCTCCACCCCCAGGAGGTGTGTGAGTCAGCAGAGGACACCGTCTTGGACCTGGTGGACTACTGCCACCGCAAACTGACTCTGTTGGTGGCCCAGAGCGGCCGCGGTGAGCCCCCGGAGGAGGAGGCTGAGGACGTCTCTCCCATGAAGGTGGGCTGAGGTTCCTGGGGTTGGAGGAGCTAGACCCCGGCTCCCCGGGCCTAAGCGCCACGTGCCCCCCAGGAGCTGCAGATGCAGGCCGAGCTGATGGAATTTGAGATCGCACTGAAGGCACTCTCTGTGCTCCGCTACGTCACTGACTGTGTGGACAGGTGGGCTGCCCTGCGGCCTCGGGCCTCGGGCCTCGGGCCTCGGTGAAGGGCAGGAGCCTGGACCGTCACCTCTACTCACCTCTCCCCCCCACCCCCCCAGCCTGTCCCTGAGCACCCTGAGCCGCATGCTAAGCACCCACAACCTGCCCTGCCTCCTGGTGGAACTGCTGGAGCACAGTCCCTGGAGCCGGAGGGAAGGAGGTACGGTCCTCCTCCACCTGCTCAAGCCCCAGCTCGGAACTTCCAGGGTGTCCTCCAGGATTGTGGGGGGGCAGCATGCACACAGGTAGGCGGACTGTGCCCCCTCGCCCACAGAGGGCGTCAGGATGGCTGACCCAGAAGTGGGCCTAGGCCAGCCGTGGGCAAACTACGGCCCGTGGGCTGGATCCGGCCTGTTTGAAATGAATAAAACTAAAAAAAAAAAAAGATCGTACCCTTTTATGTAATGATGTTTACTTTGAATTTATATTAGTTCACACAAACACTCCATCCATGCTTTTGTTCCGGCCCTCCGGTCCAGTTTAAGAACCCATTGTGGCCCTCGAGTCAAAAAGTTTGCCCACCCCTGGCCTAGACCCAGTCTCTGCAGCAGGCAGGGCCCATGTGTCCACTACCAAGGACTCATTCTACTCGGGAGCAGTCAGTCCCCTGTCCACGCGGCTGCTCATTCACAGAGCACGCGCTGCCTGCACCCAGAATGCTGCTTCCTCTCCCAGGCAAGCTGCAGCAATTTGAGGGGGGCCGTTGGCAGACAGTGGCCCCCTCAGAGCAGCAAAAGATGAGCAAGTTGGACGGGCAGGTGTGGATCGCCCTGTACAACCTGCTGCTGAGCCCTGAGGCCCGGGCCCGCTACTGCCTCACAAGCTTCGCCAAAGGACAGCTGCTGAAGGTGGGGAACCCCTCCCACGCACCCCACCGCCCCAGCACGGAGCCTACCCCACCCCTGCTGCTCGGTCTTTGCCCACCCACCTCAGCCCCAGTCCTGTTCCCAGACCTTGGGCCTCAGGTAATAGCAACTAGTGGGACACGGGCCCGAAGGCACCCTCAGCCCAGCCCAGGCCGTCCCTGTTCCTGGACCCGCTGGTCAGCACCGTGTCACACTGGCCTCCCCTGGCCCCTGCAGCTTCGGGCCTTCCTCACAGACACTCTGATCGACCAGCTGCCCCACCTGGGGGACCTGCAGGGCTTCCTGGCCCACCTGGCCCTGGCCGAGCCCCAGCCCCCCAAGAAGGACCTGGTGTTCGAGCAGGTAGGCACTGCGAGCACGAGCTCAGGACCCCCGCCCGCTGCCTGCCCCTCCCTGCCACTCCCCACTTCTCCCCCCAGATCCCCGAAATCTGGGAGCGGCTGGAGCGAGAGAACAAAGGCAAGTGGAGGGCCATAGCCAAGCACCAGCTGCAGCACGTGTTCAGCCCCTCGGAGCAGGACCTCCGGCTGCAGGCGCAGAGGTGGGGCTGCAGGGCGGCAGCGTGGGAGGGACGGAGAGGCATGGAGGGGGTCGGGGTGCTCCTGTGCCCCCCCCCCCACCAGGCCAGCCAGGCCTCCTGACGCTCCTCCCAGGTGGGCTGAGACCTACAGGCTGGATGTGCTGGAGGCGGTGGCTCCGGAGCGGCCCCGCTGTGCCTACTGCAGCGCAGAGGCTTCCAAACGCTGCTCGCGCTGCCAGAACGAGTGGTATTGTTGCAGGTGAGGGCACCCTAGGACGTGGGCCCCACGCCCCTCTCCACACCCACCCGCTCCGCCCCCTCACGGGCCCACCTGCCTGCAGGGAGTGCCAAGTCAAGCACTGGGAGAAGCACCGAAAGGCGTGCGTCCCGGTCGCCCAGGGTGGCAGAGGGAAGTGAAGCGCAGCTGCTGAGCGCCCCCCAGGGCCACGCAACCAGCCA